TCTCTGCCATAGGATTACATAATATATGGATTTGTTGTAATGTTTGCATTGATTGTGATTTGATTGCATGACAACAACGATAATAAAGGCATACATTAGACAACACTCTGTATTGACAATCAGTGTTACGGCCACTGCTTTCACACTCACTACTGATCATCACTTTTTGCCGACCCTTTGAAACCCATTTTCGCTGTATTTCTACACCAAAAGAGTGTCTATTTTTTCGACACGTTTTATACGTTTTGTTCAGTCATTCACTCCATTGAAGCCATTTGTAGACATCAGTGAAGGAAACCATTCATTGGACACAACAAGACGTCAACAAAATGTGGGAACAAAAGAAAGGTTTGTTTTTTGTCTCTAAATCTCAATTAAAATTTGCTGTTTTTGACAATTTTTAATTGTTTTTTGAGATTTTGTTTGTTTTGTCTCTTTTGTTGATCTGTTTTGACAATCGATGGCTTGTTTTGACTGCTTTTGTTTGACTAATGAATTGATTGTCATTTTTGACACTTTGATTGACAGGAAACGCGCCGCCAGTCTATCCGCCACTGTATGGTCAGCCGTCGGGACAACAAATGCCGGGACAGCCGCCGATGCAGTCACACCAGCAGTTCCAGTCCATGGCTCAGCCCACGTATCACTCGATGCCCGGCGCCGGACATATGGGCGGCCCTCAAGTGGGCGCTGGACTCGCGCAGGGTTTGGGTCCTCCGCCGCCGTACACCCCGTACTCGGACTCGCAATCAGCGCAGCAACAGATGAAATACATGCAACAAATGGCTTACAATCCCAGCCAATACATGCCGACCTCCAGCGCCAGCCCTCTGGTGCCGCCGCAGAGCGCGTCCATCGCCGGAGCGCACGGTTACGCTCCCAACCCATACGCCTCTAATCCATATCAAACGCCTGGTCTCTACAACCCATACAATCCATACCAGAATCTGCCGCCAAACAGCACTGTAGTCCTCCCGCAGGGCTTCGACGCCGGCGCCCGCTTTGACGGCGTTTCTCGGCCTCTCATTCCGGTCAGTACTCTGTCCTCTCTTTTGTATTATTGATTGTTTTAATTGATTATTAATTGTAATATTGAATTTGATGTGTGATAGCAGCCTCCGCCTCCCGGTGTGGCGCCAAACGCGGCACAAATGGCTGCAATGCAGGGCCAGAATGTGGTGATCGGCCAGAAGAAGGGCTCATTCCTTGAAGGGGGCAGTAGTGGCGGCTATACCTTCTGGTAAACCACTCAGTATTCAGTATTAATTCAAACGATTAGTTAATTTGAGATTAGCTTTCGATGAGTAATAAGACGTGTTTTTTAAGATTTAAAAAACTTAATTATGCAAAACATTGTGTTTTACGATTACATTACGAATGATTATAATATAATCATATTATGCCGTATTTTCACTCCAGTTTTTAATTATAAAAACCATTAATTATTATTATTATTATTATAACCAATTATTTAAGTCCTTATTTTTGAGTCTTATATATTGTGTTCAATCAAATCAATTGATTGATTCATTATTTATTATACGATTTATAAAAATACGTATGACTTTTGATCTATGATTTTTAATTTGTTGTTTTTGATGTATAAATCAAAACCCAATTTTGGATTTTTTCACAAATCAATCAATAAAATTGATAATAAAGTGTACGCTTATTGTCGACAAAACATTACAATTTTCAATAAATGTCATTCTCATTATCATTTCATTTTCAAATGTATCATTTTATTATCAATGCATTTGTATATCATTTATAAATTACACATTGAATGCTCTTTTAGTGCAAATCGTATGCACTTGTGGTAAAACTTGTCATCAACTATAAAAACATGATATCTATATAACATTTAAATACAACAGTAATCGAGTAGTAAGTAATCGCAGAGTAATAGGAAAAATGCAATCAATCAAAACAACATAACATTTTTGGCGATACGTTTGTCTTCTTCTCGTTTCTATAAGTAATTTGCATTCATATTCATTGCATAAAAAGTGTTTTGATTATCATTTAAAAGCTATAAATTAAGTCAATTATATTAGTCATTCATTTTATACAACATAAAAATTAAGTTAAAAAATAAATATTTGGTAACAAATGGTTTGGCATTTTGTGTGTGAAATACCATTTCGTGTAAATTTCGAAATGAAAATGAAATAAAAGTATTTTTGGCCATAAAATAGGGAAAATCATATGACAATAGCTTTTGATAAAAAGAGGCTCTGATTTCATTACAAATGATGAATGAGTCGCTATATTATGACATATCTCTCTGTCTATCTCTTAAATAAACTGATAAATATATAAATTAATAATTTGTTTTACATTATGATTAATGAGTCAAATATTTACAACAATGATATTTCAATTAATTATATATAAATCTCTACAATTGTGTACAAAAAAAGTGCGAATCAAACGCTTATAATATAATTCAATTAAAAACAATTGGATCGACAAATAATGTCTCGTCTCTTAATGCATAGATTAATAAGCAATAAAAATTGATTCAATAAATAAAATCAATTCTCAAAATATACTTTAAGTATAAAAACAATTTTAAAAAGTCTTTTGACTCAAAAACATTGCTTTCGGTTCAATAGAGAAGCGATTTATAAATAGGAAAACCGATAGAAATTGGTTGCAATTCAACGCAACAAATGCTTAAAACATTAAAAAAACAAGAGTATAATCATCGATGCGATGGTGGGAGTGGGGGTATCAGTGGGTGTCGACGGTGTGCACCTGTACCTGAGCCAACACATTGTTAGGCACTTCCAGTATTGTTGTGGGCATAGGCTTAGGGCTGGTCTTGAATATGGTTTGTCCGATGAGTGACGGGGAGGACGTGCGCGACGACGAGTTGGTGGCCGCGTCCGACTGCGAGCTCGTGTTCAGTAGACGAGTCTTGTCTCTGCCGACTAGTAAGGGCTCCATAAACGTGGGTCCGCCCAGTTCTGAGTCCTCGTGCTGTGTCATTGTCGAGTAGCCGTGATCTGAATCACCGCCCGGTCTCCTATCGGTTCCCAAAACAAAACATCAATTCAATGGTTAGTGTCTGGAAAACAATTCAATCAATTCAATCACATTACTGACCGATAGGCCTGATTCATGCGATAGGGCGACACGTGGGCCGCGTTCTCAAAGCTGGCCAACACAACCGCGTTGTTGGGCGCGATCGCCGGCATTATCTCCACGTCTTGAACCTCGTTGTCGTCGTACTCGTTGTCAAAGTGCGAGTGATTGACGCCGTTGTCAACGATGGACGTCATGTAGTGCGGGCCGTGACGTGTCGAGTGGTATCGGTAACAGTACACCGATAGGGCCAACACTATAAAGCATATCATTATACCGCCGGCCACCGGACCGACGGGTGCGCTGCCCATCGGTATGTAGTCCTCGTGCGGTAACATCATGTCTGATATCTCGTCCGCGTACGGAGTCTTAGCGCCCAGAATACCGCCGAAGCATCGACTTTGATAATTACAGTACGGGTTCTTAAGCGGTGTTTCGCCGTTTCGGTCCAATTGACACCATTCGCAACCCAATAGACCCAAACAGTCGCTGCAAAAATCATTGTTAATAATCAGTTAACAATTGGACTACAAATTGTAACTTACTTTTCACTCTTCTTATCGAAACAACTCATTTCAAAACAGCTTTTAATTGAATCCAATGTATGTCTCATTAAGGGAACCGCTCGTATGGGTTCGGGAATCGGCGGACAACTGGGATTGTGATCCTCTTCATCAAACAGCTGTCCGGTGCAGAGATTCATTTCGAGCGGGCACTCACACGGGCACTCGCAGTCCGTCTGTTCCATTCGGTGACAGTTTAGACACAAACGATCCGTCTGTTAATGCATACAAATGCCGTCATATATTGGGCACAACTGGTAATCATAAATAATGTACAAACCATAGAACAGGGACAGAAAGCCGTCACTGAATCGCACGTATGGTTAACAATACCGATGAACACATTGGTGTCGGCGACGGATGTGATGTAGTATTTGCCGCAGTCATGGATCGGATTCGTGAGGACACCCGTAAGACTTGTATTAAACTATAAAATGGATAACAAAAATGCCATTAAAACAAAACTCAATAACAACTAAATGAGTAATTAATTACATTATAGAAGCGCTGAATCGTTCGGTCAATGAAACTGTTGCAAACATTCTTCTCGACAAATGAGTTGTGATGAAGCAAATCGTTGGCCACGAGTGGCTCCTTATGGGTGATGTGCTGCTGCTCTATCGGTGCCAACTGTATGGGCTCGACGAGCGAGGGGTGAGCGATGAGGTAACCCCTGTCGTCCATTATGAAGCACGCGATCTGCTCTGTCCTGCAAATGGATCCCATGTGCGTCTGCAGGAACTTATGGAAATACCCTAAAGTAAAATCCATGGCAATCACGGCCACGGCGTTGGGGTCGCCGTTCTGGGCGTGTATAGTGTGGCTGAGGGTCACTATATAGCCGGCGCCGCCCACATCCAGATAGGGAGCGGTGAACACAATCTTCCCGGCATTCTTCACGGCTTTCAAATACCATTCCCGTCGCGTGGGCTCAAAGGACTTGTCGATGAGAGCGCCCGGGAATAGGAGGAACACACCATTGGGTGTCGCCATATATTTCCTGACGATAAATTTGGACATTTCGCTCGACTCCAGTTTCGACTTCCAATACTGAGTGACACGAGTGACGGCATGCACTTCACCCCTCACCGCACCCTTAAGGCCCGGATTGGCGATCAGTTTCGTGTTGTCGTTCAGATAAGCCATATATCGCTGCACAATATGAGTGCTCTCTTCGAGCATATCGTTAGCGAACGGAGAGATGAATGCTTTGGAAGACAGGAATAGAGTCGCCGTTTCTGTAGATTTGTCAACAAAAATATTGCAATTAATACTAAACTCAATGCAAACTCCAATCAAATACAAACCAATTGTCGCCAATTGTTTTAAATGCCGACAAAGTTTGGGTGGACTGGCATTCAGGTCCAGCCGATGGTACGCAAAGTGGGCGTCTTTGGCGAGCGGAGAGGTTATGGTATGTCTGCGATCGACGTTATTATAGGCAGCGATGACTACAATATAGGGCGAAGAGTGGACTCGACGCCAATAATAAGTTAAATGTGTTTTGTTCTTGTCGTCCGCAATAAGCGCTTCCATTCCTTTGGTATTCTTCAATATCTTTGTCCGAATGGTTTGAAAGCCAGCCTTTTGTTCGATGTGTTCGATGTCCGTATGGATCAGTTGGTCGTGAGTTTGCAGCGATGGCGGACTGAACGACGGGTGATGTATAGCAATGCCGTTACTCTTCTCGATAAGGAAGGCGTAAGAGTCCGGAGAGACCTCATAATGGATAATGTCTTCGGACAGGTCTGACAGCGATATGTCCAGAGCTATCACTCCAATCAGTTGTCCCCTATGTATGACTGACTTACTGACAGATATGTGTACATCTGGTCGTCGAAAAAGTAATTACATTTGCGTTACAAAACCAGTTATATTGAGTCCATTAAAAGTTTAGTGATATGAGTGTGAGAATTGTGTTTTCATTATCAGCCGATCGTTTTATTTCATTGAATCTCATTTTACGGTTCATTATCTCATCACAAGAAAACACAACTCTCTTATCACTTCACAAAAGTGGTATTTATTGAATTAAAAAGCAATTAAAAAGGCATACCTTTGCTGATGACATCCCAATAAGGAAGCGATATATAAATAGATGAGTGCGTGGGTCGGGTCAGCACCGAATAGATGCCGCTCAACGTGAAGCTCAAGTTCTCGGTCGAGTTGACGGCCACCATAATACCCGGCTATTCACGTGCGGGTCAACAGTTAAACACCAGTTATGAGTACAGTTGGCATAAAGAATGGCATAATTATTGAATTAAAAACATACCCTAATTCTTGTCGGATCCGGCGATAAGACGTTAAACTTTGGAAAATTCATTTCTGCGATCTCTCGGAGAAAATCGATTTCATACATAACGGGTTTCGTGTCGTCGATCAGCGCGTATGAGTTTATCACAAACGAGTAGTTATTTTCGTAACTATTGTTAATCTCTTTGGCTATCAATTCCATCACAAGTCGGGCGTCGGTTAAGGCGGACAATAGGCCGCGACTTATATAAACGATAAGCGCTTCGGATGGGCTCGGGTTAAGCTCTGATAACACAAATAGGCATTTAATACAGAAAATCAATTTGAAAAACATTGTGTCAACACTTCATACCATTGGTATTAGTGTCCTGAAAAGTGTTGGAAATCATTTGAAAGGCCTTTTTGAGTCCCCAAACGTGATTCGTATTCTCATTGGTCCGCTGGAGACCATCGATAAACCTCTGGAAGTGGTATTTGGTCTCAATGTTGGCGTTGGCCATACGCTTTGTGAGACACGTATCGCTATTCGGGTAACTGATATCACTTGAGAGCGATATTAAGCCGACCTTATCGTTATGCGACAGTGAGTTAAGTATGTATTTGGCAATGGCTTTGGCGATAGACAACTGGTGGGCCGTAATGGCAGAGCCCCTGTCGATCACCAGCACTATGTGTTTGGGTTGAGGCAGAACTGTGGCCATATAGATGTCTCGATGCCGTTGTAGCGACTCTTCATTGTTTAAGTTATCGTATTGTAAACGACTCGCTATTCACACAATTAAATCACATCAATATTAGTGAATCAAACAATTGTCAAATCAAACACAAAACCTTAATTACTTATATCGCAAATGCATTCAATGGCTAAATAGAAATAGCAATAAATCTAAACCAAATGTACTCACGATTAGCGTTGACATCATTGATGTCTTGATTGAGGCAACTGTTTGGTGACGGCATATACGCCGGGTATTCGGTGTGAACGCCCCAAACGGACATAAAGTACTGCCACTTAATGTTGGGCCAGTTGTCCAGATTGGAGCGGAACTGTTCCGTCAGATTAACGCCGGGCGAGAACTGGTCGCTCCCTGTGTTGGGCGCCGTATCGCAAGATGTGGCTCTCGTGATCTGTGTGTTGAAGTGCGGATCAAATTGCATCACCGCATACAGCCGTTGGTCGCAACACGTCCTCAACGTCTTAATCTCGCCGGTCTTCGTGTACACCTGGAAGAGCTCTTTCACCCGATCGGCCGTCTCCTCCAACACAGCCGTCAAGTCCTCCAACTTCTTCGTCATCTGATTTGTTGGACAATAAAAACATTGGATTATAACTAATCGCACAATAGGTGTGAAATGGCATACCTTTTGCGTAATATCGGCCACAATGTCGTCGTAAGCGATGTCTTGAGTGACAGTATTGAGCGTATCGTACGTGCGCTGGACGTGACTGACGCCCAACTCCTCTTTGGCCACAGTCTGCAGCCATAGCCGCATGTGTTGTGACACGAACTCAATGCGTCGGTGGGCGTCGGGAACCGCTGATGACTGGCCATCCGAAGGCTGGTCCGCCGCTTTGGCCGCCGATTGTCTCCAAACCAATAAAATGGTAATCAAAACAAAACCAATCGTTCGCTCGGCTCCAGACATCTCGCAATCGGTGGCTATTGTCAACGGATCCGATGAGACAATGCCATCGCGCGTGTGTCATATGTGGTGTCCATGTGTTGCGGTGTGTCTTCACTGTGGATGCGATGGTATGTTATTGTCTTGAAGTGCTGTGCAATGCGTTCACCACTACTCGTAGTGTTGTTTCTGTGAGTCTTTGCATACAATTCAATGCATTCATACAAAGAGTCATTAACTCAACACTCCATACAATAAATGGCTGCAAAACATTACTATACACTCACTTCAACCCTCCCTATAGTATACGCTATTCATTGTCAATGTATTTTGTGGTCTATTTTATGCGATATAATCGTTGATTAATTAAGCATGATGGTCGTGTTTGTTTACAGTTGACGTTATGGTAATTATTTTATTTAATTGTAATTAAATTAAAATGTAATGTATAGCGAGTATTGACTGTAAGCGTTGTGCAGAGCTTTCTATTGGCTGTATCTGTGGTTATAAAACGTGAGAAATACATACACTTTGAGAGCAACAAACACCGCATACACTGGTATTACTGTACTATTATTATAGGCATAAACTGGTTGTACTGTAGGATACAAAGTGTGCCGTATTTTACACCCATTCTAATGCTATGGAGAGAGAGAACGGGAGAGAGAGACCCCTCTCTCAAGTCATCCCAACATTTTTTTTATGACAACTGGTTTTTGGCCAAAACTTTTCGCACGCATACATACAGTGTATTAAAAGCCCCTAAACTTTTTCCCCCCTATGAAAGCATCAATAAAATATTGCAAATAAATTGTAATTATTTATGACTTACTCGGAATATATTGGGTATATATTTGCTGGTGCTATAAATACATTTAGCTAGTTAATCACTGAATATGGTACTTTGTTTTAATTTTATTATAAATATTAGAAATGCTGAAAATAGTTTTGTATGTTTAATGCATTTTTGCTGTTTTCGCAAAGATTTCGTTTTCACTTCACATACACTTGAAATAGACTTTATGTCGAAAGAAATAATCATTTTTTCATTTTTGTTATAATAATAAATCTTATTCTCACTCCGACTCCTATCTCTACACCACTACACCTGTATATTAACAATAGGTGTGCAATAGTTTAACATATAATTTACTGCCGTAAAAAAAGTTGTCCAAACTTTTTAATTTAATTTTCTGTACAAAAAACTATACAAATATTTGACAAGTTTTTGCAAAAATATTTTTCATTCATAATTGAATTTCAAAGAAAGAAATTTCGACAAATTTTTAACATAAAAATCACAAGAATTTCAATAAAGAGGCAAACATTGCAAGAAAAATAAACATTTATTTCTATTTTTCTCACACTTCTCCACAAAAAAATCATTGAAATGCGGTCTTAATGTGTGCGACAATAAGGG